ATAATTGATATATATTATAATTTTATTTAATATTTAATAAATTTATTTACCACCTAATTTTGGAAATAATTAGACAAATTTGTTAGTTTTGAAAAGTAATTCTTATATGTAGGTTTTGTGTATTGTTCCCTTCAAAAATCTACATGTTATTTCTTTAGTCTTTCAAAAATCTACTGAAGTACATTTATTTGGTAGCAATATGTATAGACGACAATAGTTTGACTCTTGTAGATAAATTATTTGTTGTTAAATACATTGCATATGATGAAACTATTAATCACGCGTACAAATTATTGTACATTCTTTACAAGATTTTAATTTGATGAATAAAATATCTACGACATTTGCAACAATTAATTTTTTTTTTTTAATTCTAGTAAGGTATCTGAATACAATTGTAATGTTAAAGTTTATCGATCAATGATTCAATCTGGTGCTTATATATTGGAAGATAATTTCGATAAATTAAAAATATAGAGGCATAAAGTTGATTTCACCGTAATTTCCTAATATTCCCTAAAATAGTATTAATGGAATTCATTTTAATTTGTTCATATAGATTTAGAAAGGTGAGCGGAATTATAATAGCCTATGAATTTTGATTAATTAAAAAAAATGAAATAATTCTTTTTTTACTTAATTTTAAAAATAGTTAGTTTTGACTAATGATGAGTAAAATATATGTACTTTATTTTATAATTTGCTAAACATGTTTCCATGTTCTATTCAATGTGAATTTTGTTTCCCCAATTTAAAATTAGTTATACTCTCGTTGTTAGATTTTTCTTTAGCCTTCTTACAAAGTAGAGGTGAAGATTCACCGCAGGTGTCATGATGAAAAACATTCAAAAATATTGCCGTTGTTTGAACCCCATTTTTTTTGGGTTAATAGATTTTGAAATAGTATTTTTTTGGAAAAATGTATGATTAAAAAGTCCTATGTTGCACTCGGAAACATAAAACAGAACGTGATACTACACGTGGAAACACGGTTTTTGAAAAAAAAATAAAAATGGTTAGTTAATATGTAATTTAAAAGCTCTTAGTATTGATTCACACTCTAATCGGTTGACAATTTATTGAAATATTAAGAATCAAAGCATGTCTTATCAAAAAAAAAAAAAGAATCAAAGCATGAAATTAAATAAATTTGAAGTTGAAGCACGTAATTAAGACAATTCTTAGTTGAAACACACAAAAGTCCATAAAAAACGTTCAATCCTTAATTCATGTTTTCAAACCTTTTTTTGTCAAAAGTTTCCAACAAGTTTCTGTAGAATTTCTTCACCATAAAAAATAAATAAATAAAAAATAAGCAACTAATTTTGGGTTTAAAAACTTTATTATCGAAAGAATAATGTTATATAGCATTAATTGTGTTAGAGCACCAGTCTACACGACATGTAGATGGT